TGCTCCGCCGACATTTGCTCCGCCAACAATTGCTCCGCCGACAATTGCTCCGCAAAACGCGACAATTGCTCCGGTGACAAATGCTCCTCGAACGATAGTTGCTCCGCCGACAGTTGCTCCGTCTGAAGCGACACTTGCTCCGGTGATATTTGCTCCTCCGACAATTGCTCCGCCGACATTTGCTCCGCGACATTTGCTCCGCCGACAATTGCTCCGCCGACATTTGCTCCGCTCAAAAGTGCCCCGTAAAATACAAAGGCTACTACGACAATAATTGTTGTTCCTCCCCAAAAGTACCCCGTAAAAGACAATGCTCCGCCGACAATAAAATTGCTCTCTGATCCAAAAGTGTGGCCTAGTGGAAGACATGAATGCTGCTCTGACAATTAGTGCAATAAATGCTCAGCCTTTTTTTGCTTTTCCCCATAATGTTTGATTTATAAAAAAAATCAAGTTGAAGCTCCTTATGCAAGTTCTCCGGCGAAAGATAATTGCTCCGCTAAAAATCTGTTTCATGTATTACTCATTAGCTGATCCAAAGCTCAAGGCTATCTTTCTCTCTCTCTCTCTCTTGCTCATCCTTTTCCTTATCACACCCTTTTCTAGTCTTCTTAGCTCTTTTCTTGTCTTCTTAGCTCTTTTCTTTCCTCTCATGCTATTAGTCTTCTTTCATTTTCATCACTTCTTCTCTTCTCCCCCTCTCGAGTTCTATTTCTCTCGTGAAATTGTAACGTAATGTAGTACATGAAGTACATTCTTGTTTAGAATAGTATTATTAATAATATCCAGTCCGTTTTCTATAGGTTTCTTTCCTTCAGTTAAGTGCTTTACTAAATATATATATATATTAGTGTGTAGAACACCCCGTCTCATTCGAGTACTTTGTTTTCACTGACTTTAAGAGACTCACGGAACCACCGGAAGAAGAGCAATTGGCTTATCATGAAGAACTAACATCAAACTGCAACAAAATGATTTGTATAAATGGGAATAAGCAGAAAGGCTGCCATCTAATTTTCCTGTCTGAATGAGTTATCTCTTTTACGTATAAGTGCCCTTCAAAGCTTATTTCGATCCCTCCCCTGTTGTTTTCTAGAACTTCCATGATGACCTAGTACATTGTATAATGCTTTACTTGCAGATGGTTTACCTATTAAGATGCATGTGCTTGCTTGCATTGAGGTCAGGTCTTACATATTGATGAGCTGTTTTAAATTAACTAGGAGGTATGGGCGTATTGGGGAATGTGGCTTGCTGCTCTACTTTTTTTGTTAAACTTCCCACGATATATAATGAGTGTTTAGTGTACAATATATGGGACGTACAGTGATAGATGGTTATTTCAGTATATTCGAAATGACTTTTAGGTAACTCCTTTTTCCTCCCATCATCAACATTCATTAAGTTTATTTAATCTACAATATTTCATGAAATGCATTCAGAAAATGAAGAAGAAAAAAAAAACGAAAATAACCCGTGATAAAAAATATTGTCGGCGAATCATTTGTCGTAGTACTAGTATCATTTGTATTTGATGGGACACTTTTTGGGCGGAGCAAGTGTCGCTTCATGCGGAGCAAATGTAGGAGGGGCAAATGTCGTCTGAGCAAATGTCACCGGAGCAAGTGTGGCTTCATGCGGAGCAAATGTAGGAGGAGCAATTGTCGGCGGAGCAATTGTCAGCGGAGCAATTGTCGGCGGAGCATTTGTCACCGGAGCAATTGTCGCGTTTTGCGGAGCAATTGTCGGCGCAGCAAGTGTCGCTTCATGCGGAGCAAATGTAGGAGGGGCAAATGTCGTCAGAGCAAATGTCACCGGAGCAAGTGTCGCTTCATGCGGAGCAAATGTAGGAGGAGCAATTGTCGGCGGAACATCTGTCGGCGGAGCAATTGTCGGCGGAGCAAATGTCGTCGGAGCAAATGTCACGTACGGAGCAAGTATCGCTTCATGCGGAGCAAATGTCGGGGGAGCAATTGTCGGCGGAGCAAATGTCGGCGGAGCAACTGTCGTTCGAGGAGCATTTGTCACCGGAGCAATTGTCGCGTTTTGCAGAGCAATTGTCGGCGGAGCAATTGTCGGCGGAGCAAATGTCAGCGGAGCAATTGTCGGCGGAGCAATTGTCGGCGGAGCAAATGTCGGCGGAGCAATTGTCGGCGGAGCAATTGTCGGCGGAGCAATTGTCGGCGGAGCAAATGTCGGCGGAGCAAATGTCGGCGGAGCAAGTGTCGGTGGAGCATTTGACGTCGGAGCAAATGTCGCAGAGCAAATGTCGCGGAGCAATTGTCGGGTTTTGCGGAGTAAATGTCGGCGGAGCAATCGTCGGCGGAGCATGTGTCATGGAACCGCATTGAGAAGATTCCTTGGGGAAAAAATACTAGACCAAATTTTTTTATTGCAATGTACTTTAAAGGTACTATGTCCCTTTTGCAGCCAACCTCAAATTCTGTAGAACTTTGCAGGAATTATGAATATGTCATGTATATCCTATCTGTGAAATTTAAACATTAGCAGTGTCCTCATATTCAAATTATGCAAGGAAACCCGTTTACTTGCTAGACTTCACTGTCAGACACTATTGAGTGACTGACTGGCTTTTTTTCTTCTTTGGTAATAACATACATGAAAAGAGTTGTAAAGGGTACATGAGCATTTGTCTACATCAATAACCCACATCTTGTGATGGCCAAGATTAAACTGATTGAATCTTTGCGCAGCATAAAATGTATGACCATTCGGTACAATTGTCTGAAAATCAAGACTATTACTTTTGGGCTCTATAGCCCTAAAGTCAATTTGATAACTAATAGTGGTTATTTTCCCACTTGAAGACATTTTCAAGCCCCACCTTTTTTAGGGAAGTTCTAAATTAGTATTATCTTTCAAATGTAGTTGGAATTTAACTTTTTCATTTTTTTGGCCTGCAAATGGGACATAGTACCTTTAAGAATATAGCTTTGTACAAACTGCTCATATTTTCTTCTAGGAGTGTGTGTGGGGGTGGGTCACAGAAAGGGGGTAGGGTGCACATTCTGAACCCCTCCATCCATTGTCTTCATGATTCAGACTGAAAATCATGACTATCTTCTGGATCCAGAACTCATTTTATGTATCACTTGATCGATAGCCTGCATTATTTATGAACACACATCATGTCCTACACAACAAACTGCCCCCATCCCAAAATTACTCTTGATTTTAATGGGGGTGGGGGGGGGGGCTTCAATGGGGGGGGGGGGGGGGGAGGGGGGGTAGGGTGAAATTTCTGAACCACACCATGCGCTATGAACATGTTTACAATGGCAAATTATGTCTGTTACTTGCAACAGGTCATATTGTATGTATTATTTGACCTATATCCTATTTGACTTTGATATATTGGTTGCTAGGCATATTATCACCATAGCAACGGAAATTAAGCGATATATTTCATTAAAATATGATGAAAATGCATTATCTGACATCATACTTCCTATCAAAGTATTCATCTGCTTGGTGATAGCGTCTTTTTGTGACATATTCTATTTTTCAGTCACTATGTTACCGTTGCTAAGGAAAAGACAGCCCTTAGCAACCAAATTTGCCATTTTGTCTCATAACAAAGTGTCAACTTTAGAGCGCTATAACTTTTTAGTCAAAATAGCAATAGACTTGAAATTCGCACATGATATCAACCATGCTTCTAGACAGTTTTAAAGCAAGTTTCAAGTTAGTCAACATCATAATCGATTAAATATTGACAAATTTATGTACTTTGGCGCAAAAAATTGTAAAAAATGACATTTTTTGCTCAAAATTATTATGCAATCATCCCCAAACCTATTGAGTGAGGTATAATCTTGTGGGAAATTTAATTGTCTTTCATATGACGCCTTACACATCGTTTCTATTTTAATGAAGTGACGATAATGAGGAAAATCCGCACGCAAATTGTACACGATTTTCATTCACTACCGTCACTTCGTGAAAATAGGGACGACACAGTATAATGAGGTACTGTTAAAAGTAATCTCCATATTTGTAGAACAGTATTTATTCATGGCGGCCATGTTTTTCCAGTAGCATATCGCAAAGGTAGTCCACCTAGAAATTGTGCAGGGAGGTCCCCTGAACACGTTAATACCCAACAACGTTTTACAACATTCCATGTCTCACGAACCTGCTGTGCCCCCTGGGTATGAACATATAAACAATTTTCTGATGTATTTACTGTTCGTCAACTTCAAATTTCCATTTTTTTTAGTTCTGCTGTTTGAGGGTGTTATCTGGACTAAGATTCAATAACAATAACAATTTAACCTTATGTATTACAACTTACAAAGCAATTCCACGTGATATGGAAAGAACTTACAGAAATGTAGTCTTCCTTTTGTTTTGTACACAAATCAGAAATTTTCCATAAAGTCACAAAAGATTAAAGACTCTGTAATGATACAATTTTCATAAACTTTGTGTCAAAAGATGTGCACGACTTGAAGTAAAAAAATAAGTCAAAAAGTGGCTGGGCTTGAAATGACGGAAATTTAAATTAAAATCTTTGTACAGCTTCATGTGAAACTAATTCAATCATCTCCCTTACACAGCACAAAGTGAGTGGTTCTGTAACCATGTATTAATGACCACAGCCAATGAGAACGACAGCCCACAAGACGGAATAGAATTATCTAGATAGACGGCGCTATAGAAATGCCTATTATTATTATTATTATCTGAAAAGTTGTTAAAAGGTCCATGAGACCAACTACCCATGGACTGACAACCCACAAGACTGACATGTTGGTCTCGTTGGTGTTCTGACAACTATTTTTAGGGTTCAACAGACGAGCAGTATCAGTCTCATGGGCTGTTCGTCTACTGGGATGTCCTGCTATAAAATAACCCTATTTGTGCCAACAAGGAAGTGTCAAATTAGTGTTTGTTGGCTGCCTGCAAGAGCAATACATTATCGATGGCAGTAAAGGCCTTCATGCGGGCAGCCGACATGATTTCCTTCTTTTTCTCACCTGTCCGCTTCAGGACTAGACTGCCAGCAAGTAGTTCGCCAGAGAGGGACCCTAAGTCACTTCTGTCTAACTCCTCTGCTAGAAGAGCCCTGATGTCTGTGCCTGGAGACTGTTTGTCTCTCCATCTCGTGAAGACTGTCATCAATGCATCACTGGTATTTTGGCTACGTTCCTTGATTTGACCAAGCTCTGCAATGGAGATGTCCAGGTTAATGCCCACCTCTTTGTAGTGGCTAGGTTCAATTTGCTTGGACAGCTGTAAGAATTCCTTTTCACTGACAATCCTGTAATTAAAAACAAGAGTTTATCAAGCATCTCTTAAGTATCTCTTAAAGCCCTTCTTAAGTGTTTGGAGCCCCAAATTCACCACTATTTGAAGGCAAAATTTCACTTAAATTGTATCTTAACCACTTGACTGCTATATCCACGACATTTACGTTTTCTCGCTCTTGCACGCCTGTGCGTACCACGTATATGTACGGGCTTAGGGCATTGCACTTTCAAGACCGTAGCACTGCACAATGCCAAGCCTTACTGTGTAATTAGCACTGCAATGATGTTATACAGGTCTTGAACAGTAGATGGCGCTCTTCCAACAAAAACAAAAAAGTTTTTTTTTTTGTGTGTGTACAGTGTACAGTTTTTGTCAGGTTTTTGTACAGTACAAAAGTGCTGTAGCACAGGGGGTATGAACACGTTTTTAAGCCAATAGCAGTCAAGTGGATAATGTGAAAAAGAATGTCATTTAAGACACACATCTGCAAAGATTTCCCCCAAAAATGTGTTTGAAGACAAATATTGATAAAAAGAATACATAATATCGGTTTTCTGTTGTACACAGAAAACCTAAATTTTGTATTCTTCCATCAACATTCGACATTAACACATTTGTTTTTTAAATCCTTGCAGAAATGTGTATAAAATGACATCCCTTTTCACATTATGATACGATTTAAGTGAAATTTTGCCATCAAATTCTTGGGGCTCCCAACAATTTAGAGGGGCCTTAAGTGTCTCTTATTGTGTTGTAACCCCTACTGCATATTCTGGACAGGACTTGTGTAGTGACTCGAACTCGATAAGAAGAAGATTCATTAAAGCACCTTTCTCCATACTTTGTAAGTTTAGTTCAGTTCTTGATGAGCTTTTGGGCGAAACAGACTGTACAACTAACTACATGGAAGAATAAACTACTCCAGCCTACAAATATGTACACTAGCTCCTACAGCTGAGCACTGTTAGTACCTGCAGCTTCATGAGTATACATATCTGATTCTATAAAGCTACATGTACTGATGAGATTTATTCAAAGGTATATTGAAGTGTGCACACACAAGGCTTATACCTCATTAAGCAGTGCACTTGAATATATGGAAGAAAATTGGCATGCACGAATGTAGTGTTATGCTTAATGATAAGAAAAGTACTTTAATATCCCTACTGCTCATTACTGTTACAATAAAGAACTGGAAATAGTTTTAAATACATATATAGACTGACCTGTCTGGTCCAGGGTTGGTTTCAACATCACCAGATCTCACCAGGAGGATCATGAGCAGATAGAGAAGGCAGAATCCATCCATGGTGCAAGATGTTCTTCTCATTCGACAGAAACTCAGTCCGCTGGAAAGGTTCATGAATGATAACCCCAGCAAGACATGAGCAGATAGAGAAGGCAGAATCCATCCATGGTGCAAGATATCCTTCTCATTCGACAGAAACTCAGTCCGCTGGAAAGGTACATGAATGATAACCCCAGCAAGACATCCTGTAATTGACCAAAAAGGGGATTGATGCAGTTAATTATACAAATTGAAGTGAATTAAATTGAATTGAATTTATTTATTCACCACCATTGAAAACATTGAACACAAGATCATTAATATAAACATGACATGAGTTAAAATACATGTTCTACAGCGATATAATATAAATTAAAAGATAGTTATAAGTAAATTTAGTGTCAAGAGTAAAACAATAAATGACTATTTACAATGAGTAAATTACTCATATTAATGATAGTGACATACATGTACGTGTATGTACAATGTACAAAAAATGGTTCACTGTTTACACTTTTTCGCCCCTTATCCAAATATTTGCCTCCTGACTTGACTCTTTTGCAATTTAATACTGAATCTTATTCAAAGATAAAAGGGGATGACATGTGAAGATCTAGCTTATATCCAGGAAGGGAAGGGGGCGGGATGGGTGTCTCGATTTGTGCTGCAGAGAAACAAAATACACATGTAAAGGATTTATGAAATAAAGCTTCCGGTAATCAAATATCATATTGAGATTTTTTCATTGTGTATATGGTAGGGTGTAAATACAAAGGAATTCTTGGGAGCATCCCCCTCCCCCCCCCCCCCCACCACCCTCCGTGATGTAGTGCAATGTTTTTTTTTATTGTTGAAATATGTAAATTTTTACAATTCATAGCATCTGATATCACTACGGTCTCTATGTTAACTCCCATTATACACTATTAGTATTTCTTTGTATTTACACCCTACTCTTACAGTAAGCAGAAAAATCAAGGAGAATAGTGAAAGTTGAAACAAAAAAGGAAAGTGTGGGAGCTTTTGCATTTTTTAACTTCAAATTGTGCAATCTGATGCATTTATTTACATATAATAATGGTGCATTTTGGTGCTTGTCGTGCCATACCTCAGTGGAAATTATAGAATCTGAGTTACAATGTAACATGTCATGTTTACGGTTTCAAACATAATCAAATAATATTTACACAAACATGACACAAACTGACACTAATATACCATACTATATAGTGCCAATACAGTACGGTGTGCCCTTGACTTGCAGGGTGGGCCTGGCCTGACATATCCGAACGCTGCTGAAATTACTTCCGTAGTGCAGTGGCAAGCGACTTGAGTGCCGTTTTGCCAATATGCTAGGCGTGGCAGCCGTGGGGTGCATGTACTGCAAACGCTCACAAAATGACCCCTGGGTGACCGTATACTTACAGTAGAGTTACGAGGTTTATATATGTATCATATAGAAGACAATACTTCAATTTGATGGAAGAGCTTATAAATAGATATAAAATAAATCAAAATCTCTATAATCTTAAAGGGATTGGGTAACTTTGTCTCAGATTCTGAAACGAAATCCTGGATTTAGCTCATGCTGCATTGATAATCAAAACTTTAGGTCAGTCAGTACCACCATGACTTTTCTGATTATCAAGATATTTTATGAGTGAAATCGAAATTTAATTTGGCGTTTTCCTAACGGTTTTCATAACACTACAGTCCATTGGGGAAAATGAGTCGGTATGGTAAACCTGGTCACTCAAAGATATTTACTTTTAGATGCACTTCGTGATCATTTTGATGCACAATTTTTTTAACACAATGTACATGTATCTCAGATTTAACATTGTTAAACGATGCCTTTAATATTAAAGCAAGTTCGTAATTAGCCACTGGAGTCGTATGACGTCAATGTGTCATAGCTAGGTCACATCAGCATAATATCTCCAAACGCCCACAAGCTTGTGTGTTTAGCGTCTATACTATGGGATGTTGGGAAGAAGGAAACAAATCGTGTGATGCAATAAAACTTATGAAGTGCTACTGCGCGGATCGGATTGGAGCGAATGATGGTTTCCTATTTCACGAAAGTGTAGTTTCTGTGTACAACCTTGGCAGCTTGTGGGACGAGTGGATAAGTCACCGGACTGTGATCACAGGGTCTGCGGTTCAAGTCCCACCGCGGCACTAGTGTCCTTTGGCAAGACATGGATCTACATTTGCCACTCTCCACCCAGGTGTTAAATGAATACCCGGTAGGAATGCGAAAGCTAATGTTCTTAGATTAGCATTGTGCTTGTAAAAATGACGCCTGGCTGGAATGCTCCCCAGGGAGTGGAGAATGTGCATGCATACTTGTGTGCGGGTAAGCCGAATACGATGACCGGGGTAATAATATATATATCTGTAAAGCGCTTTGAGAGGGCCTTTGGTCCTGAAAAAGCGCTATATAAGAACTAGCTATTATTATTATTATTATCATGAAAATCAAAATTCCTTGTCAATACGGAGAAATTAGCTGAAAATACGACTCAATGACTGCGACATTGGGATTGTTTAATGCCACTACTTTATTTGTCTATAACATAGTCTATGATGGCCGACCATTGCCACGTCCTATATATGTTATCATGCAGGTGCGCGGCGCTCTTAAAATTACCTCATGGGGAATCCCCAAATTTAATGGCATTCCGGGTATGCGAATTATGCATTTGTAGGCTAGCATAGAAATGAATGGAATAGCTGAATGAGAACAAAGACATGTTTTGTTGTTGTTGTTGTCAGTGCAATTGTAAATACAATGCATGACATGAATACATATATATTTGTAATAGCACTTCCTCAGACAAGTTGCCTAGTATAGCACCATCTATTGCTATTCACTTGATATCAAACACTCAGAAGGCTACATGAACATGGTTGTGCTGAGTTCAAAAATCCCCTTTTTGCCAGCGCATCAAGGAGATTGAAGTCATAATATTGTCATTAAGTCAGGCAAAGAGGTTAGTTTTGTTCTATATTTAATGTATTTCTATGAATTGTCGAAACATAAAGTGTAAATTAGTGTGTGTGTTTTTAATTCATACTGAGAGATGTTGATGTTAGTATGTAATGTAATACATGCAAGCCTATGCTGTTATGATATATTATGTACATTTGATTTTATATTAAGAACAAGATAACAGTAAAGATACTGCTAATAATTTGAAGATATATTATGAGAGTGCTGAAGCACTAAGTAGAGATTTGGAATTTAGTATTGTCTGGTTCATTGTTTTAACAAGCTATAGTGAAGTCTAGTTAAGACACTTGTATTGTGAGTTTGTCTTTATGTAAAGCCATAATGCAGATGGACTAGAATAGTGACTGGGATTATGTTACAGGTTATGAAGATGAGTTTCTCAAAGAGACTGTGTTATTGCTATATTGACGATGCTATGATGTACTTGTATTTATGATTCTTTATCTGTGATTGGCACAGTTTTCACGGAATGAAACGGAATGAAACGGAATGAAACAAAATGAAATAGTTACTCAAATCATTAAAGTGTTGGTCACAACCCACCGTGCGTGTTTTTAGTCCGTACGGTTTCTGGGAGGCCACGGCCGTCACGTTTTTCTGAAAACATAGGGAGGGAGTGGCAAAGGCAGGGAGGGAGTACCGGCAACGCGCATCACACGTACTGGGGGTGAATCGGTAGCCTGAACCGCAGCCCGAACGCAGCGAAAGTTCCTCGTGCAGTGTGCTCCCGAATCCATTCGGAGGCGGTCTCACCACGTACGTATAACACAAAGTTTGTCCACATTTTTGCACGTAGACAGCACGCACTTGCAAGTACGGCGGGTTGTGACCACCGCAATAAAGCTACAGATTCCCGTAGAAGCCTTTGTTTAGACTTGAAAATTTGATATCGACCTCGCTGCAGCCACAGTTGTATTCGAGTATCTGCTATTGTGGTTATTGGTCACAATCTTAATTAATTTCGTCACATCTGATCTGCCAGTTTTATCTGCAATTTTTCCGATAGTTATTATATTCTTCATTATGTTTAAATTGGAATTTTATATGTTGTAAACAAATAGAAATTATGTGGAGCAAAGGTGTCCTGCTTCTCCAGCCAATAGGGACTTTTAGATTTGCACGTTGACATAGTGGACTGCTACTTGTGACGTCCTTCCAAGGAGTTACTACACTAGGAGTGGGGACTGGATTAGGATCAAACGACCCATCCTGTATGCCGCGCTCCCCAAGCGCCATTCCACTAAATGGATTAATGCCCCTGCCTGGTCGCACCGGGTCGTAAATAACATCACATAGCGCATGCGCAAGGTCGGAAGACGACTGATGACTATTCAGCGGCTGACTGAGTCGTTGCGAAATTTTTCCTCAAAAACTGGACAAAATAAAATATGTGCTCTTACCCCCACCCCCCCCCCCCCCCCACCTTTAAATTGTAAACATAAATGTAAACATCTAGGCATTACCATCGATAATATGCAGGGAGGTGCTCCCTGACATTACCAGTAATAATAATATTAATTTAATAATAATAATAGACTATTTAATTTGTATAGGTATAGCGCTTAATACAGATGTCTCTAAGCGCTTTACAAATATACTATTACCCACGGCCATTGGATCAATTATCATTAGACTATTTATATACAAATAGACCTAGATCTAATTGCATATTTGACAACACAATCAACATCATTAATCACCACAAAAGTCAAAGACAATCAATAGACATCACTAGAGTCTAGACATCACAATGGATTTGTAATTGTATTAGAACAGTTTGTTTAATAATCATTAAATATAATCCTAACTATCCGCCAAGCTTAGCGCTTATAATTATATGCATGTCATCTCATTCATGCCCTCCCGGCGGCCGGCCCAGCTAGCAGCTATAGTTCCTCAACTCGTCCAACACGCACAATAATACCTCCAGGTGAACTGAAACACACACCAATATATATTAGTGGACAATAGAAAATAGTGACACAGCAGATGTTAACAGGTTTCCAATAGGTCATCACAATAACAAGAACGGCCAAGATCGGTGGAGTCATACATCAAATAAAGAAGAAAATCTCATTTGTCTGCAAAAAAATGATTTTCATCTGGGGTAGTCTGGGTCTACCACTAATATTACATTGAAATATGAATATAAATGGAACAAAATAAGGACATTTTTCAACAATAATCAGGTCAAAACTCAGCTTGTCGTTTGCCGATTTTCGAGATCTTTGTACCAATCGAGAGCTGAATTCTTAGACTACCACGACATCAGAGTGTGTGTCGCATGTGATGAAGCTATCGACATGTGTATAGAGCTAGTCTAGATAAACCACCTATATATTATGACTGGACTGTCGATGTTTCCTCCTAGAGAGGGCCAGTTCAGCACGGCATCGCGCATGGGACATAAAAGTCCGGAGATCGAGACCAGGGTGACCTCGTTGCGTAAGAGGTCGTTTTGTTTTTCGTTGGACCCCCTAATCCCTCATAATCCCGCTCTGAGTGATAAGAAAAGCCCTAAGGGCAGAGTGTTCACTCCTAGTGTAGTAACTCCTTGGTCCTTCTAAGGCACTGTGAAGTCCTTTTATACCGCCAGTGCCTTAAAAGGACGTCACACGTAGCAGTCCACTTTGTCAACATGCAAATCTAAAAGTCCCTAATGACAAATTGTTTCCCTCCTTTCTGGGGGTATCTCTATTACTCATTTGGAGTACCCCCTATAGGGATTCCCATTGAATTGTTTCCCTCCTTTCTGTGGGTATTTCTATTACTCATTTGGAGTACCCCGTATAGGGATTCTCATTGATCTCTCTGGCTTTGCATGAGTGCATTTCTTTTGTGTACGTGCTGGCATCAGTGAATGCTTTTTATGTACGAAGTGCACCCTGATTTAACTTTTTTTGTTAAATTTTTGTAATCACTGTTACACATGCTGTTTATGATAAAAAAATCAATGCCGTCCATTTTTTCTTCAATTATCTCAAACCCTTTCAATTATAAGGTATGATATTGAAGTAGACAATCAAGTTGACTTGACACATAAAAATTAATAGCTTGGGCTTGTTCTCACCACTTGCTCTCGCGGAGATCAATGGAGACGAGGTTGAATAAGACTAGTATATGGTACTTAGTAGAAACCTAAACATTAGCTCAGTGCATTTACACTGTAACCAAAAATCATCAATTTTTTTCACATTCCGGTATTTCGACACCAAAAAAAATAATCAAAAAAAAAAAGAAATCCTACTCTGGAGAATGTTTTTTTTAAACGCCTGCTGGATGTCAACTGATATTTTGCAGTGTTAAAGGCACACTTCGGTAAGCTAAACAAGATAACGCCTTCTACACATGTAACCTCCTCACTTCAGTGATTTTAATGATACACATGCTCTACTCAGGGCACTGACGAAGCGAACATCGGTTACCGAAATTTCTTCCTTGTAATTCCTTGTCATTAGACATTTTTAGAACCCTAATCTGACCTTTTTTTCATAGTGCATATCATCATAATTAAATATAATTTTTTCTGAAGTTTCATGTCAATACACCCTTTCTCCACAGAATTAGGGGATTGTAAGTTTGAGGGTGTTTTCTCACACTTCACATTCAAGACCTAGATTTCATGCATACAAATTGTATAGATATGTGCGAATTCGAGGACGCTTCAACGGTTTTTTTATGTTTTTTTCTTTCCAGTAGTGTAATCATAGACAAAAAAAATCACTTATGGGATGCATCTCCCAGTCTCAATAAAATCATGTGGAACCTTAAATTCAATACGAAGAAAGCATTTCTTTCAGAGTACATTGTTTGATCTTTTCCCAGTGCTGAATTAATATTGATTATTATTTTCAATTTCCTATAAAATATCCATCACTATATTTTATAACTCCTGTATACTTATATAATTTGTTGGTGTCAGAGTTGTTTACATCTGCATATTTTTATTTTCATTTTCATTGTCATCATCAACATCATCCCCAACACTAGTTTTTGGTTTTAATTTTTGGTCATCACCACATGCCCCTCCCCCCGGCTTACCTTTCCCCCAAGCTATCACGCTATCAAGCAATAGCTTAATGTAATTAATATCCCATCTTTTTCTGCAACTTTCTAAATGAATAATACTTGGTATTGTTTTATCAGTTAAATTATGTTTTTGTTAAAAAATTATTTTGTATACAGTGCAGTGCGGCCCAGAAAAACGAAATCGAGAATTATCATAACTTAATCACGATTACAATTAACAAATGCCACATATTTGTAAAGCTTTGATCCTCCTCTTTCATTTGATGCATTTCATATGATGCATATTTCATGCATGAGTGATGAAAATAAATTTGAAGAAACGGTACCAAAAAGTCATTTGGCGGATGGTATCTGAATGTCAAAGAGAAAATCAAATTTCTAGAAAGTCCATTTTTTCCCTTTATATGACACCTCAATCAGTAAAGATGAGCTAGGAATAACAAAGATCTGTTTATTTAAATGCTTGCATTTCCATAAAATTTGTATTAAACAAATTCCCTTTCACTGGCTTGCTGGCTGCCTGCCGAAGCAACAAACAGAATTGACAAAAGACTTAACTCCGTTTCGTTGATGATCAGCCAAAGACAAAAAAGGTTTTGAATCAGCAGCTTTTTTCACCAAGACTACATCTGGTTCCACTCACACCAGAAAAGCAATACAAGGCATAGACCAAAAGCTTCAGTCTCTCTATATCGTCGGTTGTTCCACTGAGACTACGTCTGGCTCCACTAGACCTTCGATTATAGAGACTGAAGTTCGTCCTATGGGGACTGTACGGAACAATTGGTTCAGTTCGGCCGGACCGAGATGAATGAGATATGCAACAAGATTTTCACTCTTTACATCCTCATAAATGCTGCAATATTGCAATAATTAGAGTCTAGATCTAAATTAAAAAATTAAAAATAACATATTGGTCTATATAGCTTATTTTGACTTACGATCTATAGCTTGCTCATTTAGATCCTAAATTAATGATTAATCTGAGAAAGTCTCGTAGTCAAATAACTCCGTTGTCAGCCATCTTGGTTTTAGTTGATGAATATTCATTTTTTCTTTTCGAACGTCCAATAGCTACCGTACATACGTACGAGTCAGCCCGGCTTGACCAACGAACTCTCACGAAACGAGTGCTCTGATTGGACATTGGCTATGTTTTGATAGGTTGACCCAGAAAATATATCGGCCGCTGGGTCATGTCATTACTAGTTCGAGTGCATGAACGTACTGTTTCATTGTTCCGAGACGAAAATGGGATAACTCATATAGAGTAAGTCCGTAAATTTCTCATTTTAAAATAGTAAATAAAAATGTAATTACTCCAGATAGGAATATACAAATACATAGTATTTGTCTATCTGCTTAATATAGATCAGAAACGTAGATCTAAATAAAGAAAATTGGGGGAGAAAATGTCGTGTGCCAACATTACAAAAAGATGTCCAGAATTGGCTATAGATTACCCCCACACCGGTACGAGATCTCTGGCGTACCGTCTGTATATGGGGAATGTCAACAAATGTCAGTTTTATTAAAGAAATGACCCATATCAGACGGTTATTTCTGTCTATACAAGGCAAAGCAAAGACACCAAGTTACTAAGTTATAACAAGATATGAAGAGGAGGAATATTACTGGAGTTGCATGGAATTGGAAGCCCATATACACTCAAGTCAAGAACCTTCTTGCAGATTCTCTGGTAATTAAAGATAACATTAAATACATGTACAGTTTTAAGAAAGATATCCCCATACTTACCAGGTGGTAATTTTCTGTGGATACAGCTACATCGATTTTGGAAACCACTCGTTCGTTCGTCCGCATGCACAAGTACTGTATGTGTAGCGTTTATGGGGTGGTGGGAAGCCTGGAACAAATGCGTGTGATCAGATCTAGAGCGAACGCGGAATGGTGGTTTTCCTATTTCACGAAAGTCTCATTTCTGTCTACAGTCTGGGCATGTAGCTTGGATGATGAAAATCAAGGTTTACGTCAATGGTGAGAAATTAGCTGAAAATACTACGCAATGGCTGCGACATTTGGATCGTTGCGCACGTAATGCCACTACTTCACTTGTCTATGATGGCCACGGCCACGCCACGCCCTACATATATCGCGCGAGCGCGCGCGCTCTTATAATTACCTCATGGGGAATCCCCATTTTATGGCCTATGCCAATATGCGGTTGTTGTGTAGAAATGAGTTGAATAGCTGAATGAGAACAAAGACAGGTTTGTTGCAAGCAAGTAGTACCTGCGTGTTGTGGTCATTGGTCACAATCTTAATCATTTTCTTCACACCTGACTGCCGGTTTTTATGTGCATTTTCCCCTAGTTTTCCTATCTTCATTATGTAATTGTTGTAGATTGGGAATTGTATTGTAAATTAAATGTGCGAAGTTGCCCCTCCCCTGCTTCTCGAGTCAATGACAAATTGTTTCCCTCCTTTCAGGGGGTATCTCTATTACTCATCTGGAGTACCTCCTATAGGAAAAAGTGGTGGATCTAGGGGGGGGGGGGGGGCTGCCCTGGCCAAAAACAGGTAAATTTAACCTTTTTTGAAGAAAAAATTAAGACAGGCCCCTCCCCCTTTCCTCACGAGGGGGGGGGGGGGGGGTTGGGGGTAGGTGGATGTTGAGTAAACATACCTCCCACTCCAACTTATTCGCTTGCTAGCTGATAAGGCGCTCAAGAAATAAACAAATTAGTGCTCACTACCCCTCCCCCCACCCCATGAGAAAACACCTCCTTACCCCCCCCCCCCCCCCCCCCCCCCCCCCCCCCCCCCACGCTTATTTGCCGGCTGGCTGATTCGGCGCTAAATATTCTCTCACGAATTGGGAAGAAACAAATTAGTGCTCCTTACCCCCTCCCCCCTGTTGAGAAAGAAAAAACTCCTCTTATACCTACTCCCCCCCCCCCCCCGCGCTTATTCGCCGCTAAATATTTTCTCCCGAATTTGGCCCCTATTTGGCCCCTCCCTTGCCCCCGGCTGGGAATACCGTTGAATCGTTTCCACCCTTTTGTTGTTGTTGTTGTTATTGTTATTGTTGTTGTTGTTGGGTTTTAAGGCTGTCCAATCTGAAAAGATTATTTCCGCCGGGCAATACTGTTTTTCGAGTTATTCAGCAATGATGATTAGATGGCGCTGTTTCCTTTTTTCTGGTTCAAATATTGATTCAGTGAGTTTCACAGCTTCCGTTCAATCGATGGTGTGAACAATAATTTAGATATCGACCATGAACAGGGTGCAGGTACCAAATAATAAAGGTTAACTGTCCAGTGCTAAACTATATTTTTCCTTTCCTACCTCTCCGAGAGAGAGCGAAGGTGAACATAAAATAATATAAATACAAAATCAAACTTTGGTTGTTAGGCCTATATATATAATTAACAAAAACAAAAACGAAAAAATTTAATACAATTTGCTCTTTACATCATCATGGCAAAGTTACGATAAAAGCCATCGGAGCGTACAGAGGAACTTTTTTCCCCAATAAGTTATGTAAACTCCTTTCTTTTTTAGTCAGCCATGCCATGTTCAATTTCCTAAAAACCCAAAGTCTGATGTCAGACAAGGAATCAAAATATACAAATTGTCATTGATCAACAAAGGGGGTATCCAATCCCCTCACAATTCAGTTTATCATGGGGGTCGGACTCCTTAACCCCATGGATATAATTATCACTCTCATCCAAAGGAAACTACGTCTCTTAATGAATTGGTAAAGATTGGTAAAGCGGCCCTGTTGCATACAACTTAAGTGTTATACAAAACAAAATGCTAAATATCTATGACAAATTTGCTCTCAGCCAATCAAATGCCACGATTTCAGTAGCTTAATAACAGTTATAACATGTTTAACATGAGGGGGGAAGGGGTCTCATGCCTAATTTCACAAACCAATAAAAGCGCGGCTATACTGTCAAAGTGAACACATTCCCTTCCCGAGATAAAATAACACACCCATAAAGTAAAACGTTCACTCCTTTATCTATTGCTCTGCGTACAATTTCTTTGGATCCGGGTATCGGCTGATTCGGCTCCGTTTAAAGTCAACAGAGCTGATTGGAACGCAAATACTTGCTTTAATTACAAGACATGCTTTTTTAATAGACTCCTCAACTATGTTTTTTTTTACTACTGTGCCAATCTTAGATGATTTATTTGACAAAATGTATAATTTTGTCTTATCTTTTGTCTAATATTATGTTATCGAATTTTTATGTATTGCACATTCATTTGAACTTGTTATATTATGTGGAAAACGAAAGAAACCTTGAAGCCTTAAAACTCAATCAACTGAAGTCACAATCTATGTGTACATTGCCCATTATGTACGAAGATTAGGTTAGTATTCGAAGGGTATCTAGGCACAGGAATGGTTACCATGCTCTCTCTCTCTCTCTCTCTCTCTCACTCTCTCTCTCTCCCCCCTTTAATATATTCTCTTTTCATAATTCTATTTAAGTAGTCTTTAAACGGCGTCTCACCAATCAAGAAAGTAAAGAAAAACCACATTTTCAATCGTCCAACTTCTTATAACAAACGTCAAACTGCAGTGGCGCTGTTAAAATGTCTTTAGGCAAACTTATCAGAAACGGTTTTTCAATTCATGTGACAGCGACCCTGTTTAAATTGGGGGAGTTTGAAGAGTTTCAAGCTCATGTCAAGCGTGGCAACATGATGAACAAATATCAACTACACGACAAAGCCGCATCCAGGATGGGAAAGAGCCTAAGGAGGAGACTATCAACTAGTTATATGACAAAATACTTTGTAAAATTGTCCTTCAAATCTACCCCTGATCACATTTTTAAAACAACTTCCAACATCCGAGTTTAGAACACCCGTAATCAACAATTTAGTTGATGAGTATTTCTAATAATTTACGATAACCACCAACGTATTTTTAAAAACCTCAGGAGGTGGACAAAAACACGATCGCATGCCAACTACTTTCGAAAATCAACTTAAGGCACTTTCAATATATTACCTTATGCGTCCCCTATTGTGATGTCATAATTAGCATCCTCATCATCACCATTAACATGATCATTATTATTATCATCACCATCATCATCATTATCATCATCATCACATCGTCATCATCGTCGTCACCATCACCATCACCATCACCATCATCACCATCATCGTCACCATCACCATCATCACTATCATCACCATCATCATCATTATCATTATCATCATCATCATCATCACCATCACCATCACCATTAATGGCATCAAAATTATCATCATCAAGTATTATAATCCGAAGTAGTATCGTCATTATCACCATTATCATGATCAAAGCAATCACCCTCATTATCATCATTATCATCATCATCACCACCACCACCACCATCATCACCATCATCATCATCATAATCTTTCTCATACCCTCTCTTTCCAAATATTAAAATCCTCTTCCTCCACCCTTATTTCATAGCCCCCCCCCCCCCCATCCCTCCTCTATCTCGATCGCTAATTGCTTGCCGTTTCTGTATAAATCAAACACACTGTATTAAAAAAGACAAGCGTTATAAATATGCGTATGAAACTGTATAGTATCTCCAAGCACAACTTTTAATTTTAGACAGTTCATTATCGCAGCAGGAGAATGTATCACAAATAGTGTTCACGAGAAAAGGCTGGGCTGGGGGTGGGGGGGGGGGGGGAGAGAATTTGTCATTTCACTCATATCTGATTTGATTCGATGTCAAATTTGTATCGGTCAGGTAATGCCTTTCTTGCTCTCAGTGCAAAATATTCTAACACAAACCTTTCTTGATTAGCCACGTGTGATGGGCATGACATAGTTAATTGCCATCCTAAATCTCCTTCAGATATATCATGATGCGGCAATACCGTGGCGTTGTTTATGCTGATGTTGAGTGTAATATGCTTCACATTTCTGTTTCTTATAACACAGAGCTCAGTGAAGACGTGCAGGATCTGGTTTGTATGCAGTTACCATTTATTTACACATTAAAAAGGGCGGTCTATACGGCGTCATATCTGTGGCGTTATTATTTGTCGTGCAAAACCTTCTTCAGGCAAAGATGAAGATGAGAAAACAAATGAAAAGTTCAATTCTAAAAATGTATATGTTTTATTCCCCCCCCCCCCGTCATTTTATTTGTATTTTTGCATACCTGTAGATCTACTCGGTTCCATTCACTAGATCAAAACTTCAAAAAAGTTGCATGTTAATTTCAGAGAGTAAAATAAGCCAAGCCAACCAATAAAGCTATGGCTTTCAAATATCCATTTCAGGTTTATTTCCAAGCATGTTACATTCACGTATTCATGGCTTTCCTTTGGAACTGACCAATCAGAAAGCAGGATGAGTAATGACACATGTGAGTTAGATTTCTCCTGAATTCAAGCTGCTTTGCTGCAATTAAAACTTTATGAATGGATGGTAAATCTTTAAAAAAAAAAGAAAACACTGAGGGCACCGATTTCACAAAACTATCTTCAGTACCAGTTCAGCAACATCCCATCGAAATGTGCTGGAACAAGCAGCGTTTCAATCGGGACGTTGATGAACTTATACTTAAGCTGTTTTGTGAAAAGATGCCTAGTTTCCTAAAAAGTGATGAATTTATCAATTTTATTTTCATGCTCATGCACCAAGATTCTTGAAAGAGCCATAGTAGATAACTATATTCTGGTAGTAGGTATCATGGAGTGGCAGTAAGATATGTTGTTATTTAATGATATATCCATCAAAATGGAACTAGTTGTGAATATCTAGGTTTAACATAATGCAAATTAATAAAGTGATGTATATGTATGTTAATAGCTTCTTTGTAATGTTGTACTTCATAAAACTGTTGTAGTGAAGTGTGAATGAAAAGACTATTTGATAAAAAGGAATAAACCAAACATCATTTGTGTGGTAATTCTCCATTTGGAACAATAACTCTCAACTCGTGACATGCAGGTCACACCACGATGTAGGGTTCCTACGGTCATGGAGAAACGTGGAAAGTCATGCCATAAAAAAAGTTCTGGAAAATTCATGAAAATAAAGAAGAAAATAGCTTCCAAAGTCATGAAAAGTCATTGGAATTTATCATAGGTGCACTGTAAAAAATCTCTGTAAAACTACAGTTTTTTTGGCCCTTGAAATTACAACTTATTGCCGTTACTTCAATTTTACTGCCGTTTTCCTGTAAAACGACAGCAAGTTTGTTGATTTACCGGAAATCAGCATAAATTTACAATAGCCCTACATAAAATTCTGTTAAAAAAACATTTTCTCATATTTTAACAAGTTTTCCTGTTAAATGACAAATCGTTTACATGGTACTGTTTTAATTTACATATATTTCCTGTAAGATAACAGAGTTTCTTCAATTTAACAAAAATATTGCTGTATGTTAACAGTTCCTTGTTTTTATTTACCCAAGTGTGTGAGAAAAACAGAATATCTATTAAAAATAGACATTTCTCGGAGTTATTACATACAATTATGCCGTTTAACTACTGCATTTTAGTAATTTGAGAAAAGTACCTGTAAGATGACAAATTTTTAACCGTTTTTTATTGTTACATCCCAGGCCTGTTAAACAGTCACAATGTCTGTTAAAATACGACATAATAATCAAAGACAGTATAGGCCGTAAAAAAACACCGTTTCAGTAATTTGAGAAAAGTTCCTGTAATATCACAAGTTTTGGACTGTTATTTCGTTTGTACAACCCAGGTCTGTGAAAAAGTCGCAATGTTTGTTAAAATACGACAGATTCTTGTAATTAACAAAAACAATATACGCAGTCAAAATACACCATTTTAGTAATTTGAGAAAAGTACCTGTAAAATGACAAATTTTTAACCGTTTTTTATTGTTACATCCCAGGTCTGTTAAACAGTCACAATGTCTGTTAAAATACGACATATTATTGTACGATCAAAGACAGGATAGGCCGTAAAAAAAACATCTTTTCAGTATTTTGAGAAAAGTTCCTGTAATATCACAAGTTTTGGACTGGTATTTAGTTTGTACAACCCAGGTCTGTGAAAAAGTCGCAATGTTTGTTAAAATACGACAGATTCTTGTAATTAACAAAAACAATATACGCAGTCAAAATACACCATTTTAGTCATTTCAAAAAAGTTCCTGTAAGATGATAAATTTTTAACCGTTTTTCATTGTTACATCCCAGGTCTGTTAAACAGTCACAATGTCTGTTAAAATACGACATATTATTGTACGATCAAAGACAGGATAGGCCGTAAAAAAACATCGTTTCAGTAATTTGAGAAAAGTTCCTGTAATATCACAAGTTTTGGACTGGTATTTCGGTTTGTACAACCCCGGTCTGTGAAAATGTCGCAATGTTTGTTAAAATACGAGAGATTCTTGTTATTAACAAAAACAATATACGCAGTCAAAATACACCATTTTAGTCATTTCAAAAAAGTTCCTGTAAGATGACAATTTTTTAACCGGTTTTTGATTCTTACATCCCAGGTCCGTTAAAAAGTCAGAATGTCTGTTAAAATACGACCGTATTCTTGACTTCTAATTGCAGCTTAACAAAAACATGAGGCCGTAAAAATACAACGTTTTAGTAATTTGAGAAAATTTCCTGTAACTTAATATGACAAGTTTTGTTTACAACCCACGACTGTGAAAAAGTAAAAATGTCTGTTAAAATACTTGTAATTCAACAAAAATAGTAGGGCAGCGTTTCGTTAAAAAACACCCTTTATAAGTAATTTGAGAAAATTTCCTGTAAAATAACAAGTGTTGATCTGGTTTTTCGATTTTACAACCCATGTCTGTGAAAAAGTCAAAATATATGTTAAAATACGACAGATTCTTGTAATTAACAAAAATAATATATGCAGTTAGAAAACACTATGTTAGTCATTTTAAGTGAAGTTCCTGTATGATAACAAATTTTTAATTGGTTTTTCATTTTACATACTAGGTCTGTTAAAAAATCACAATGTCTGTAAACATACGACCGTATTCCTTTTTAACAAAAACAGTATATGGAAATTGGAAAAAATACATCCGTTTCAGTAATTTGATAAAAAGTTCCTGTAAAAGAGCGAAGTTTTGGACTGGTGTTTTCGTGTTTACAACCCGAGGTCAGTGAAAAAGTCAGAATGTCTGTCAAAATACGACAGATTCTTGTAATTAACAAAAAAAATATATGCAGTTAAAATAGGCCTAGGCCTACACGATTTTATTCATTTCAGAAAAGTTCCTGTAAGATAACTAGTTTTGGACTGGTATTTTCATTTTTACATCCCAGGCTGTGAAACAGTCTGTTCAAACACGACGTAATTAGACTAGAGTAACAAAAGCAGTAGCCATATAGGCCGTAATTAGAATAGATCCTTTTAGTAAGTTTCAGAAAAGTTCCCGTGAGATGACAAGCTTTTTAGACTGGTTTTTGGTTTTTACAACCCAGGTCTGTGAAAAAAAGTCGCAATGTCTGTTAAAATACAACATATTATTGGAATTTAACAAAAGCAGTAGAGTCTATGTCGTTAAAATACAACTAGCTTGCTTGCGCAGCGCCGTACACGTGTTTACGACGTACACGTACCCTATGCATAACGAACCAGCGCTCATCGGTTGGTATTTCCCGCCAAAACGCCCTACCAGTACGTACGTACAGTAGCAGCTCGAGCGTAATATTTAGTTCATGCAATGAGTGAGTGCAGTGCAGTGCCGGTTGCCGCACAGTTCTCGTATCAGTCGGCCATCATTGAAGACTAAAAAAGTTAGGTAAGAAAAATCAAATTATTGTTCAGATTTTCTGTTTATGACTGCTGAAGTGTGATGATCTCTGATAAAGTAGAAGGTGTAGATTATTTTAGATAGACATTCATCAGGACCGGTATGTTACAAAACGAGTCAGTAAGACTAAGAATTAAGGGTAAGAATAAGATTACTAAGAAAGATCAGAGTGAGACGTTCATGTATGTGTAAGACGGTAGGCGTAGGCCTAATATAGGCCTAGCTAGGCCTACAGTACTGGATCTAACTTAGAACTTGAACTTTATAGAGCGCTTGTTCACAACTGTGCTCTCTCCCGCGTGACTATAAATTAACTAAATCTTCAACACTTGTTGAAATAATGGTCATGATTCAAAAGTCGTTATCTTTCTTACCTAGATCTAGGCCTAGATCTAGTCTATAGGCCTAGACTCTAGACCTTGGTTATTTCACGATTTTGTGTGTGTGTGTTTTTTTTTTTTTTTTTTGGGGGGGGGGGGGGGAGGGGGAGGGGGGGGTATTTTTTCCTAAAACAGACATTAGGGTTTAGTACCGGTATACACTTTCTCCCGGGTTCCACTGCAAACCACTGCACAATACAAGTGCATACCGACGACAGTGGGTAAGGGGATGAAACAGCCACTCCCCCTCACTATTGCCAATAGTGGCGCCGAGAACAAAAAAAAAGATATGGAAAATAAGAGGAACGAAAGAGAAAAAAGGAGAAGTAAAAAAAAAAAAGGAGAAGAAAAAAGGAGAAGAAAAAAGGAGAAGAGAAAAGAAAAAGATAGAGAGAAAAAGAGGAAATAAACTTAAGAGTGAAGCTGGGTGAGAAAGGGAGAAAGATGAGGAAATAGCCACTAGACTCTAGACCTAAGTGACAATAACAATTAATGAATAAGGGAAAAACAGGGAGGGGGGGGGGGGTGACTGACTAGGTTTTAGGTTGTGCAAAACTGAGTCGGAATTCAGCTTTTCAAAAATTCTAAGCCTGACAAGGTTATAGTACACTTCTGAAAAGGCTGCGTCCGATCGGTTCCTCCAAAGAGGGGCAGAATGGTTATTAGGAAATGTGAGAAAATGTATACTGTCTTCTTTTTTCCTAATGCATCAAATATGAAATCAGTAGATACCGGTAACTAATTATCTAATCAGTCCAGCATCTTGTTCGATTGCTGGTTTTCAGACCTCCGCAGTCCCGTCCATCATAGCCATGATGGGCATGCCCACCTGGGCCGTGTAGGGAGGGAAGCCATGAAGCCGACATTAATGTTCTCACCAGATGCACCCTACTTCTTCGTACTCTCTAGTTTACATGTCTTCTTCTGCACAATGTCTGGCTTCTTTTACTTGCACGCATCACGCACTCACACACTACCACTATTACTCCACCCTGGACAGCTGTCAACGTAGCTTTTTGGGTGCAACAAATTCAAGATTCAAGATTCAAGATGCATTTTTTAATTTAAAAAAAAAGAATATTTTGATTAATTGAAGTGATCTTCATTTTCTGCATTTATTTTTGAATACTTTTTATCAACAGGTTCATCTCCCTTTTTTTCTTCTTCTTCTTCTTTACAGTTTTTGGTGTCCCTTTGTCCATTGTTAGCAGAAGGCATTTGGTACCCAAACTGGCAGATTCCTACAACAATTCATCTTTAAACTTAAAGTGATTAGAAAGGTATGTCATGTATGTGATCAATGAAAGTCACTGGGGTAGAATTATTCTCATTAATTAGCTTACCAGACCAGGCTTTCAGTAAGTTCTAGTCTATCATGGCCGAAGAAACTAACAGTAACATACATTTACATGTACGTAGCAATCTAGATGGTCAACGTAGTCATGGAAGGCAACAAGAAAAGTGCAAAATTTGTGGTACACTCTGTGCAAATATAAAAGCATACATAAAACACTGCCTAATTCACAAAAATGAGCATAATGTGCGTTTTCCATGTGCACAGCCCGGTTGCCTAAAAACCTGTGCTACATACAAAGGACTACTTACACATATGTCAAGAAAGCATGAGTGTAATCATTCAAAGCCTGGTCAAAGCAGGGACAAACCATACATAGATGCTAGTATTTCTATCAAATGTAGCTTGCTATTTTGTCAGAGTGAATGTGCTGATATTCAGGAGTTACTTGCACATTTGAGGAATCATATTGTCGATGGGATGTCTGTTCTTTGCCCATTTTCAAATTGTGAAAAGAAATTCAACAACAAGAAATCATTTTCTTCACACTTGTCAAGGTACCAAAGAGACTACACTGCTTATTCTGTTAAGCCTGCATTAATTGTACAGGGAGATCAGCTTACTCCCAATGTTCATGTTGGTTTCAGCGAAGTTGATAGTGATCTAACAGAAGAAAGTCACAATGAAAGTGAGGATTTTCAAGACGATAATGACAGTGGTGACAACATAGCTGAATACACAAGGAACATTGCATTATTTTTGTTGAAGCTACTTGCCAAGTATCTTGTTCCTGAATCAACTATCCAAACTATTGTAGAAGAGATGTATGGCTTATACAAGCTGAGCCGAGAATGCGCTGCAAAGCATGTTCAGAAAACCCTACAAGATGCAAATATTTTGAATGAAGAACTGACAAAAGATATTTTGGATGGTGTTGCAGAACTGGGCTGTAGTTTAGCTCCTCTTGAGGACTCCAGCAAGTTTGTATCTCCACAGTGTGGTGTTCTGAGATCAACTTTTTTACGAAAAAATTACTTCAAAAGGACGTTCTCGTATGTAGCTCCCATTGAAATCAATCTGGGAAGAGATTCATCTGGCAAATCTTACTTCTTTCACTATGTGCCTATTCTTGAGACGTTGAAAGTAATCTGTCAGGACAAATCTGTGCAGAAACATTTTGTTTCTACTAGGTTAGAAAATGGTCTTGGCGACATTAGTGATGGACAGATATATCAGCAATGTGCATTTTTCAAAGAAAACCCAGAAGCTTTGCAAATAATTTTGTATCAGGATAGCTTTGAGATTGTAAATCCTCTTGGCTCAGCTAGAACTAAACATAAAATACTTGCAGTGTACTATACACTTGGGAACATTGATGTCCGGTTCAGATCACAAGTTGATCAAATGCAGTTGGTTCTGTTGTGTAAAGAAAAGACGGTCAAACAATTTGGACAAGAAGCATTATTTTCCAAGCTAGTTGGAGACCTAAAAAAGTTGGAACAAGAAGGCATATCAGTCAATGGAAACCTTTTGAAGGGTTCATTATTGGCTATCTTAGGGGATAACCTAGGTGCTCATTTCATTGGAGGCTTTTGTGAAAGCTTTAATGCTGAGAACTATTGCAGATTCTGTCTTCGTACAAAAACCCAAATTCGAGAAGAGCCTCCCTATGTAGAAGGAGAGTATAGATCGCCAGAATCATATGATCGCTCTGTGCGCATCGCACAGGAAACTCAGGCCACTTCACATGCAGGGGTCAAATTTGATTCAAGTTTCAACTCTCTGTCTTATTTTCATGTTGCAAGTCCTGGTTTACCTCCATGCCTTGCTCATGACCTTTTTGAAGGTGTACTGGACTATGATTTGGCAATGTTTCTTCAGTATTTTGTTGACTCAAGATGGTTCACATTTGACTTGTTGAATGACGAATTGAAAAGGTTCCCATTCTCTACCAGTGATTCAAAGGATGTGATGCATTCAGTTAGGAAAGGCGAAAAAATTGGTGGACAGGCAGTTGAGAACTGGTACTTTCTCCGTTTTTTCCCAATGATTGTCTTTTCATTTGTCAGTGATCCTGAAAACCCAGTTTGGGAGCTGATGCTAAAGTTGAAGAGTATAGTAGAGATTGTTGTGTCACCCATGATTGATCATTCTGAGCTAGCCTATCTCAAGGTACTTGTAGAAGAATATCTTGAAGACAGGCGAAGGTTATTCCCAGATAAGAGGCTTAGGCCTAAGCACCATTTCTTAAGCCATTATCCTTGGCTCATATTGAAGTTTGGCCCTCTGACAAGAGTATGGACCCTTCGCTTTGAGAGTAAACATGTTTTTTTCAAAAGATGTGTACGTTACTCTTCAAACTTCAAAAATGTTACAGCAACATTAACAGAAAGACATCAGTTAATGCAGGCATATTTCTGTGATGGGCAGTTGTTCCCAGATAGTGTAAAGGCTGATAGAGGGACAGAGTTTGACCCTTCTCTCTATGCCACCAATATTCAAAGAGCTGTGCATTCAAGGCCCATTCTTCAGCAAAATTGTGAGGCATCAGATGAGGTGACTGTTTTTGGTACACGATACAGGAAAGGCATGTATGTTGTTGTGAAGCATGCAAAATCATGGACATTTGCATGCATACTCCTGGTTCTAGTATCTGGAGAAACTGTCAATTTTGTTGCAAGGCAGTGCCAGTACACATACCATATCAAATATGGCCTATATGAAGTATACAGTGACAGCAACTCAAATGTGGTATGCATTGAATTCAAAGGTCTCGCAGATTATTTTCCTCTCACCGCATACAGAATCAGGGGATCTGAAATGATCACCCTAAAAAACAAGCCAATGTGTCAAAAGTAATGTGCTAATTTGCAAAAGCCACATTGCAGTTAATACGTGTGTTTGAAATTTATCTGTGTATAGGTATGGAGTGCCTACATGTACATGCATGATACACCGTACACAATTTTCCTCCTTTTCCCCCCTTTTATGCACCAAACTACCTGATACATATCAAGTCTACATTTCTTATTTACCTGTAATTAAGATTTCTCTTGACTTTCAAATCATATGAGGTATTCAAAAAAGATTGTTGAAGTAGCTAGCTGATACACCAATCCACCTTATTTACAGTTGCTCGATCCTCATCCATTTTGTACACAAAACTGCATTCACAACTTCACGTTAATTAATTTTCGGATGAAACTATAACAAATTCCTCTTGACTTTGATACATCCAAATGAACATTAGCTAAACAGATGTACATTATTTCCCGCTATTCAGCACATTTGCTGCTGGCCATGATGTTACTTTTTCTTCAACCCTAACAGCTTCAATAATGGACTCCTCTAGTTCTGAAAGTGATGACACCATTGATCTTGGAGTTTTAGAGGAATATGTGGCTCAAACCTTGCCATCTGTTTCAGCCAAAACCAAATCAGACATCGTGACAACATTGCTTAAGATAGGAGTAGGTACACCAGCTGACCTTCAGTACGTCAATGAAGAGGACTTCAACTCTGAAAAGCTGAAGCTCGTTCAAGTGAGGAAGCTGATGAAGGAATGGAACAAAGGTACCTTCAACATGTTTTTACTAGATGTAATTGGTTTGTACCAGTATACTTTTTGCCATGTCTGGGCATGCAATGGAAGAGAATGCCAAAGCATGTCTTAATTAATACTTTTTCTTCTTATTGACACAAGCACAGAAAGAAATTACTTCGAGAAACTCTACGAATTTGCTTTCTTATAAAAATAAGCAAAAATAATTTAAAAAAACAGCAATTACCTGAGTATATTCCGATTGATGCTTACATGGTCTATGATATTTAAATTAAAGTTGTTGAAGAGATGCCATAGAGAAAACGGCCATCCCCATCCTTCGAATGAATTTTTGTCTAGTTTGTAATGATTTTCTTTTCTTGGAATAGATCGTTGATATATTATTTCTCTTCTCTTTTGATTAATCCAGGAAAGAGCACACCTAGCTCCAGTGGCAACGGAGATCATAACTCTTCCACTTCGTCATTAGATATCCCAGGGTGCAGCTCAATTATCTCATCAGAAGAATCTAGTGCAGAAGGAAAATCTACTCGAAATGAGGCACGCTGCATCCCATGGCATAAGATGCCAGAAGAGCTAATGACATCTCTCAAGCACGGTCGTCGACCATCACCCAGTCTTAGAAAAGAAATGGTGCGCATAGTTATAGCTGACCTGTACAACCTGAACCTCCCCTTGCCAAGAACCACCGTTCTACGTGCTTTAGCTCAGGAAGCAGTACGTAAATATCCAAACAGCCTTAGAGACGAAGTTGATGGTATGATACTTGGAAGCGGATACGATAGTCTCCTCTCTCAGTTTCTCAACAGAGTGGACAATGTATCACGTCCGAGACATGGATGCCATGAACTGAAGAGAAAAGCTGACAATGCTGCTGAAGCTGACAGTGCTGGCTCAACAGCTTCAAACCAAAAGCGAGATTCGTACGGATGTCTTAATTGGCAACCACTTTCGCTACCAGAGGGGGAGACCGAGGAGTCACAAATGACAATCAAAGAGGAACTAAAGGAACTTCATAAATCAGAACCTCATGTTGATAGAAGAGAAGTTGAAACAAAAATGGCAAAGACCTATGCCTCGCAACGAATTTCGTTGAACAAACCTGATTGTGCACTGCTGGATGTTGTTGAAGAATGGCCGTATCTCTTTGATGAGAAGATTCTCCTTCTGCACTTCAAACAACTTGTAGGTATGGATGCGAAAGAAAAAATCACAGAAGGGTTGGAAAGGAAATCTGCCAAGATGTATCGCTTCTTCAGACAATCTCGGTCATTTGGAAACGTGCAAGATAAGCGCATTCACCAAGTACTAAATAAAGTGGATGAAGCTGTCCAGATGACAAAATGTGAATCATCAAAAGTCATGGGGCTGGTCTACCTGGTGTCAGCATACGGAGGAGAAGAAGTGCAACACTACATCTACCAACAGGTAATCCTATGAAGTCTGTTATTAAGGAGTTTGGGTAATCAACTTTAGTATCTATACATTTTGCCAAATTATATGTGACTTTTAAATAAAAAATGAAAACTCATTTTCCATCGTCATTAAAAGTGACCTGAGCAAGATTTTAGAGTAGTGTTCCTAGAAAGACTCTTCACAAAATCAGAGAAATTCATTTTAATTTGTCCCCATAACTTTTATTACAAGAATGAGACCAATTGCCATTATAAATGGTACAATCTTCTGAAAATCTTATTCTATAGTATAAATCTTGCATGACCTGTTGTAATGTATTAAAACGATGCAAGTGTTGAATGAAATATTGATATTCATGTTGATTATCATAACCTTATTATAGGCATACTATTAGTATACCACAGCATAAAAGGAAATAACATGCCTATCAAAAAAGTTTACCGTACCAAAACACAGCTGTTTTGGATTCTTCAAGATACAGGAAGTAATATGTGTTTATACATGTACCACCTCCAATGAGAAATATTGTCATGTGAAATCCCATGGCAGGCTTCTTTGATGCACATTTTCGTTGCAAGACACTCAATTACTAACAGTATAAAACCATTGCAGGATTTGCCTTCTGTGTACATTTTTGTGTATTTTCTTATTATATTTAATAGACATCGCACTACATTACATTACATTACATTGAGTTATTTTATTATGTTTCACTACTGTTTCGGGTAATGTGTCTGTTTCCATGTCAGGATTTGGGGCAACCACAGCAAACAAAGAACCAGCTGCCTGGACATCCATGCTTAATTTCCAAAGGTAAAAAACTAAAAATGTTTATTTGTTTTGAGCAACATACCGGTAGTTGTTTACTCCCTTGAATAGGATAATGTGGCTTAAGCTTCAATTTATTTCATGTGACCACTAAGAAAGCAACCACCTCACATGTAAGTTCCCTTAGAAGTACTAGGCAATGAGGATAAAGTGCCTTGCCTAAGGGCACTACTGCTGCAGCAAGTGGACTTGAGCCCGGGACCTCAAGGCTATTAAAGAGTCTGTGGTCTTACCCACTGAGCCACAAAAGCTCCTGAATAAGATATTGTTGTAATACCTAAACTACTTAATTATCTAAACTATTCCTTTAAGTTTTATGAATTTTCATAGAAAAATGGAAACTGGTTGTGATCCAATCATATTTATTACTGCTCTATTTAGTGGTAATCCAATGACTTCAGTAATTTCCTGGTTGGAATTTATTGGATTCTGAAAATTAATTATTGGACAAATATCCTATAGATAACTACTAATTTCTACCCCCCCCTTCCCCTCCCACCCCCACCCCCCCCCCCCAATAAAGAGAAACAAATAAAATGAATAAAAGATTATAAAAGCAAATACCATTACAATTCAATTTCCTTTAAAGCTTATTGTCATTGAAATTCTGTTTAACTGCAGTGATTGTAATAGTATGTGTTTGCTCTCTTGTTTTATTTTGTGACAAGGAGATCCATTGGAGAGCACAAGGTTTTCACTTGCTGTCGGGGGCATTGTGACAACACATGTAGAGAACCCCATCAGCGCTCTCGCAGTTTGGTTTGCTGCCTTCTATGTATTCAACCTGCAGTATCCTAAAGAAGCGTCTGGGGTACCAGAGTTTATTCAGAGGTAAGAGCCAGTATTGAGTCTGAGGCCATCAGTTCTGAATCTAATGGAAAATGTTACGTTCTCAATGGTTTTGGGTTGAGTCTGAGGCCATCAATTTTGCACTCGAATTTGGACTCGGACACGAGACTGTAAAGAACTGATACTAAAAAGGAACCTAGGAGTAACCCTAAAGCAATTCCAGATTTCAAATTTTGCAGCTTTTCCAACAGCTCAATGGTCTGTTTGGAGATTAATACAGCTCTGGTACTAAGTGTTAAAAAAAAATCAATCAAATCACAATTTTGATGTCTCATAACTTTTTAGAAAATTCACTGATGACATTCAAATTTTTGTCGCACATAGTTTAAAATGTTATGGGTATGATTTTGTTGCCATAAAAATGTTAAATTTTTCTATAATTTTGACTTCTTTTTAACTTAGTTTACAATTATGGCCATTTTCTGCAGCTAAGTGTAAAGAAGATTCTCCATGAGGATAACATTGTCTTGGTACGGGACACAAAGTTATTTCCAATTGTGGGGCACCCTTTATAGGATTTGGAGTCAATGTGGGAATTGGCATTAATAATGAGGAAAATGTTTGCCTTTGTCCAAACCTAAATGTTTGTTTCAACACCTAGTAGTTAAAAGACAAAATTATGACATGGTTATGTTGGTTGTTTCTGCTGTTAACCTAACCATCCGTACCATATATCTATTCAGTTGAGAGCCAGAAGGGCGTTAACACTATTTTGTTTAAATTCAGAAGAGCACAATCTCTGTACATATTACCTTTTTTTCAGGTGCTTCCTGGGCATCAACCCACAAACAGGATCAAAGGGAGGAAAGAGGAAGATGCATCCAGGAATACTGAAATTAGCAAATCGTCTTGTGTCCTTTGAAAACGAGTGGGCACTTAACGAATAATAGCACAACTGCCAGTTTGGTTCATTCGTTTGTTCCTTCCCACATTTTCTCCAACGTAGCAGGAAAAAATGGCATTTCCTGTATTGTGAATATGGAAATCCATATTGTAGATGATCCAGAATTTATTCACCAGGCTTATTCAAATTACAGTGTTTGTTTTTGTGCAGTAGCAATAAGAGTTTATGTACCGTTACTGAAGGAAAAAGGAAACACACCTTGCAGGAAAAAGCGCTGTTCTTTTCTTTGATAGTATTCCGTATTGCAGAGCAAACAATTATTCAACAGGATTATTCACATCAGTTGTTTTTTGAACTATTGTATTATAAACAGGTGGACTTTGTAAATATACATACATTTTGTGCATAATAAGAATATCTGAAATACGATTGTTTAACAAATCAGTGAAGGAAAGAGGAATATATGTAATTTTAAAATAAATCATCAAGATAATGATTAGGGTTACATTAGTCCTATACAGCACAGTGGACATACAGTTGATTGCTTAATATTACTATTTCTTGTGCATTTAAGTCTCCTTTCAAGCTACTTCCAAATTCTTATTTTGTATTGCAATGTCATTGCATACCTGCCAACCCTTCTGAGCCAAAAAGCCAAACTAAGCTTGTTTTATCATGTGCCGCGATTTGAGATTTCACGTATTGCATGCGTTAAATGGCTGCATGATCGAGCAGCGAATTTGTATTCGCTTTTTGGTACAGATTTACCGCGTATTGTCCGTTACACTGCCGATTTCTTAGTTTTAAAGGCATAACGTGCTAAAAAAATTATAATTCTTATTTTCAAATGTTGGCAGGTTTTTTATAGTAGTATCCATTCAAAACTGTAGGACCAATAAGCTGTCTCTGATTAGAATTTGTTTTAGTACTATAGTATCTAAACAAACTAGACTCACTACTGTTATTATACACATGCGATTTCATTTGTATGTCTGCATGATATTAAAGAATATGTAATCTCATGTTTGACAAATTGGACTAAATTTATATATGAATACATTGGTTTACAATTTGAATGTTTGCGTAATGACTATACCTGATATCATGATTGTTTGTTTACCAAATAAGCAAAATTATTAGATTTACAGGCCCTTTAATTCTACATCCTAGTGGTGATGAAGTTGATTGCTTTGCTTGATATTACAATTTGTTGTGCATGTTGGTCTCTTTTCAAGCTATTTCAAAATGTTATTGCAATGTTATGGTAGTCTCCATCCAAAGCAGTACGATCAATAAGTTGTCTGTAACGTTGTGTTTAAACTGTTTAATGAAAACAAACGTGACTCAGTACTGTTATTACATACATGCAATTTGTATATTGCATCATAAGAATATGTTATCTTATGTTTGTTTACCAAATCAGCTTGTAAAAAAGAAAAACATACTCTTTTGTTTGGGATTATTCATAAGCATGTTGATTCTTAGTTCTTGTACTGTATAAACCGAATAGACTCGGTCCTGCTATAATTTTATGTATTATAGCTAAATGTGGAGAAGAGAAAAACTTCAATTTTTGTTTGGGATAACTGATTACCTCTCTGCAAGATCATATCATCTGATCAGCAAGAAGGGCGTGAACTCATATACTAACACAGAGTCAACGCCATTCTGGCTCCAAACAGACCATATTTTCTCTTTCTGTATGCAGTTTTGCATAATTATTTAAGTCGATGATTAGGAGCAGGAATTTCCTATAAAGAATCTTTTTTTTATTGGTTCCATTGCTGTTTTATTAATGTTTAAAAACGTTTCAGTTTTGTTGTGTTTGATATTTCAAGTGTTTATAGTCCTTTCTCTGCCATATCCATGCTGGATGTCATTGTTGCAAATTACTCAATCTATGCCCTAAATGATTTTTGAAAAGTGTTGTATATGACTACAAGATTTATATATTGTGATGGTTCTTCCTTCAGGATGTTTCCTTGTTTAATTGTCCAAAATGGTTGGGCAGAGGTCAGAAAAAAAATATCATCTGACACTAAGAGATCAGTATATTATGCAGCGCAGATGTCAGATAAGTCACTCATTTCAGCCTCAATTATTCTTTTACGTTTTAGCTTTCTTTATTTATGAAACTGCTGGTCAGATTGAGCCAACCTTGCAGCCTGTAATGTCTTGTTTCATCTTTTCATGATAACTTTGTTCTCTTTTTAATGTTTTCATCATTAAAAGTAATTTGAAAAAAATATTGAATATATCTTTATTTGTTTGATGAATAGTTTAAGTTATATTGTGAAACCTCATTATAATGATCACTTGGTGCCTTTTGATATCACCTTATCATTTTAAATATCTTGTTATATCAGAAGTACAAAAAAGTGGGGAAGAAGATTTCAGACCACAAAGATCACCTTTTTGTATCGGGTGCTTCATTGCAGAGCCCATTATTATGAGGTTACACCTATTATTATTTTGCTGGGATGTATGATATACTACATGTAGTTTGAAAATGTCAGGGACTCCTTGTGAATAGTTGAAAATGTTCATGTGTACAACAGTTCAACTATTTTTGATTTTCAGTGTACATTTTGAACAAATCATACATTACTCATGTTACATCACCCTCTTGTATGAGATTACAACAATATTTTATTTGCCCTTATTTTCATTTTATTTACAGGACTTAGTATTTTACATGAACAAAACTATCATGACAAATACGAACAATGCCTGGAACTTACAGTGATCTGTTTCACAGGGAGCTGTTCAATAATGAAATTAAATATACAGAACATTTTTTGTTAAATTACAGTATGTAAAATCTGAAAACCTCATTATGCAGCACAGTTCCTGTAATAAAATAGGTTACTGTTATTTTACTAGAAAATACGACATAGAAATTACAGCAAATCTATGTAAAATTACACTATAAAACCAGCAACATCATACTTTTGCAGGAAAATCACTGTGACAATACGGGGCCCCTGTTATATTACGATAATATATAACATTAAAAATACAGAAAGTTTTTGTCAAAATACAGGTTCTTAACATGAATCTGTACATGTAAGTTTACATGAGGCTGTAAAATAACGGGCATTCCCGTCGTTCCGACTGCCAGGAAAGTACCAGTAATACAACTGGGTAACTGTTATTTAGCAAAAATATATGAAATGAAAAGACATGCATTGTTTGTAAAATAACAGGAAACAAAGTATTAAAATCTGATATTTAAACAGGAGAGTTCCTGTGATAAAATAGGGTCGCTGTTAATTTACAAGAATACATGACATAAACATTACAGAAAGTCCCCGTCAAACTACAGTATATAAAACCAGGGACATGATATTTTAGCAGGAAATCGCGTAATTAAAATGGGGTTTACTGTAATTTTACGAGAATGTATGACATGAAAAAATACTGTTAAACAACAGTTTGTTAACAGGAATCTGTAATATTACGTGAGGCTGTAAAATAACGGGCACTCCTGGCGTCCCGACTGCCAGGAAATTTCCCGTAAAAATACGGAGATATTTTTTACAGTGTGTGGGTCGTATATGGCTATGGCCTTGCAGTTTGAACTGACAAATGTGAATGCCGCTTGGATGCCGCAATATAGTTACCCACACCAAAATGGTACTTATCTGGTCATGGCAAAAGGCGAAAATGGGTACTGGAAAGTAATGGAAAGTCATGAAATTTTATTCTCAAATTTCTGTGGGAACCCTGAAGAAAATGGATGTGTACTATGAGGGTGATAAGACATAATGAAGAGAAATCCAGCCTCGATCAGTAACAAATCATAACTTTCATATTGTTTTTATTAATTGCATTAAAAAAAATTCTACCTTCCCTTTGAGCAACTTACTATTGATGTTGGATTTTTCTTGAATACATTGAAGGTCCTCAACTGTCTTTTGTTGCATGTTTCGGAATAGTTCGTTACTCTTGGTTTCGACTAAGTTAGTGATACAATATAACCTCATCTGAGCTAGTAGCAGCGAACGTATTTGATTGGCATATTTTGGGAATCCCATTGCAGAGACTGTTGATATTATCTTGAAGTACGTGGCTTTTGTTTCCAGTTGCACAATGTAAACAAAGAAAAGGGAATCTGGTTACACCAGGGATATGTGAGTTTAAACTCACATATCCCTGGTTACACGTACATAACATTTAGAGCTATGATATTTTTTTCTTCTCTTTCGTGTATTGTACAACCAGAAACTTTTCCCGGCATATAATGTTTGCCAATTGCCAACCGTGAACTTGAACAACAACAAAAAATCTATATATTTATACATGTATCATACGTTTATAAAAACAAATTTCGTGACACTGTTAGAAAACATTCGCTCTGATGCCTCTGAACCACAATTTCATTAAATCTAGATTTGCATTTGAAGATTTGAAGAGAATTTCGAGTGTTTGAGACAAAATACTTCAATCTAGAGTAACATTCTAAACACACACCAGCCCGACGTAATACAATGCCCTGACCCCCAACACGCAATGCCCCGCTAAACACGCACTGATCTCTGTTGTATTACACTCAACGTCATAAAGAAACTGCTTGCTCTTTCCTGTGCCATATCTTCCACTTCACTACCATTGAAAGTACCAACCCCACCCCCCCCCCCAAAAAAAACCCTCTGACATACTCCTCCTTTCTCTCCCTATTTCTCATTTTTCTTTCCCTGTTTCGCTATCCATCTCTATCCATCTTGATCTATATCTCTACCTCTCTTATGCTCTAAATCTATCTTTCAAGCTTGTCCCATTGTCTATTTAGCTATCTACTTGAACATCTCTACAGCCTCCCCTCTTTCTCTCCTTCTTCCCTCTTACTGGTACATACTGGCTGTAACGAGATGAGTCAATGTACCCTGAAGTCAACAGTGAAATAGCGCCACCTTGTGGCAGACTTGTAACAGTGAAAATACATGTAATAAATGAAGAGCTTTTATAGCGCTCTCTTAGAGCACATAACCTGGTTGTAACTATTTTCATTTTAAGCCTCCTAAGTATAACTAGTATGTAACTCCTGTATTAAGGATATGATATTTACACTGGCTATCCATCTCTAATCTCTACATCTCCACCTCTCGTATCATATGCTCTAAACCTCCCCTTTCTTCTCTCATTCACTGTAAATTGATACCCCCTCTATCTCTTTCCCTACACATCTATACATCCTCTTCCCTCCCTCTATCTTCCACTCTCATGCACCTCATCTCTCTCTCTCCCTTCCTCCCTTGATCCGCCCCTCACTCGCTTCCCTCCCTCTATATCCCACTCTCATGCACATCATCTTTCTCTCTCTCTCTCTCTCTCTCCCTTCCTCCCTTGATCCTCCCCTCACTCTCTTCCCTCCCTCTATATCCCACTCACGTGCACATCATCTCTCTCTCTCCCTTCCCAGTCCCTTGATCATCCCCCTAACTCTCTTCCCTCCTTCTATCTCCCACTCTCATGCACCTCATCTCTCTCTCTCCCTTCCTCCCTTGATCCTCCCCTCACTCGCTTCCCTCCCTCTATATCCCACTCTCATGCACATCATCTCTCTCTCTCCCTTCCTCCCTTGATCCTCCCCCTCACTCTCTTCCCTCCCTCTATATCCCACTCTCATGCACCTCATCTTTCTCTCTCTCTCTCTCTCTCTCCCTTCCTCCCTTGATCCTCCCCTCACTCTCTTCCCTCCCTCTATATCCCACTCTCATGCACATCATCTCTCTCTCTCTCTCCCTTCCTCCCTTGATCCTCCCCCTCACTCTCTTCCCTCCCTCTATCTCCCACTCTCATGCACCTCATCTCTCTCTCTCCCTTCCTCCCTTGATCCTCCCCTCACTCTCATCCCTCCCTCTATCTCCCACTCTCATGCACCTCATCTCTCTCTCCCCCTTCCTCCCTTGATCCTCCCCCTCACTCTCTTCCCTCCCTCTATCTTCCACTCTCATCTCTCTCTCTCCCTTCCTCCCTTGATCCTCCCCTCACTCTCTTCCCTCCCTTTATCTCCCACTCTCATGCACCTCATCTCTCTCTCTCTCCCTTCCTCCCTTGATCCTCCCCTCACTCTCTTCCCTCCCTCTATCTTCCACTCTCATGCACCTCATCTCTCTCTCTCTCTCCCTTCCCAGTCCCTTGATCCTCCCCTCACTCTCTTCCCTCCCTCTACCGCCCACTCTCATGCACCTCATCTCTCTCTCCCCCTTCCTCCCTTGATCCTCCCCCTCACTCTCTTCCCTCCCTCTATCTCCCACTCTCATGCACCTCATCTCTCTCTCTCTCTTCCTCCCTTGATCCTCCCCTCACTCTCTTCCCTCCCTCTATCTCCCACTCTCATGCACATCATCTCTCTCTCTCTCTCTCTCTCTCTCTCTCTCTCCCTTCCTCCCTTGATCCTCCCCTCACTCTCTTCCCTCCCTCTCTCTTCCACTCTCATGCACCTCATCTCTCTCTCTCTCTCCCTTCCTCCCTTGATCCTCCCCTCACTCTCTTCCCTCCCTCTATCTTCCACTCTCATGCACCTCATCTCTCTCTCTCCCTTCCCAGTCCCTTGATCCTCCCCTCACTCTCTTCCCTCCCTCTATCTCCCACTCTCATGCACCTCATCTCTCTCTCTCTCTCCCTTCCTCCCTTGATCCTCCCCTCACTCTCTTCCCTCCCTCTATCTCCCACTCTCATGCACATCATCTCTCTCTCTCTCTCTCTCTCTCTCCCTTCCTCCCTTGATCCTCCCCTCACTCTCTTCCCTCCCTCTATATCCCACTCTCATGCACATCATCTCTCTCTCTCCCTTCCTCCCTTGATCCTCCCCCTCACTCTCTTCCCTCCCTCTATCTCCCACTCTCATGCACCTCATCTCTCTCTCTCCCTTCCTCCCTTGATCCTCCCCTCACTCTCATCCCTCCCTCTATCTCCCACTCTCATGCACCTCATCTCTCTCTCCCCCTTCCTCCCTTGATCCTCCCCCTCACTCTCTTCCCTCCCTCTATCTTCCACTCTCATCTCTCTCTCTCCCTTCCTCCCTTGATCCTCCCCTCACTCTCTTCCCTCCCTTTATCTCCCACTCTCATGCACCTCATCTCTCTCTCTCTCCCTTCCTCCCTTGATCCTCCCCTCACTCTCTTCCCTCCCTCTATCTTCCACTCTCATGCACCTCATCTCTCTCTCTCTCTCCCTTCCCAGTCCCTTGATCCTCCCCTCACTCTCTTCCCTCCCTCTACCGCCCACTCTCATGCACCTC